TCTGACTAGACGCTGCTGGGGACTTGGTGTGTGGAAAATGGCAGACTATAAACATTTAAATAATAATACCACAACACATGCTGATTCTTCTCCACCAGGAAGGAAACAAAAAAAATTTCCTGGGAAGATAAACCTGAAGAATACTATGGAGAAGGAATGCATTTTCTCTTTTTTTTTAAACAAAGCTGAGTTAAGTGATTCAAACAAACATGGATCTAAAAAATAGTTGTAAGAGAGAACATGGCTTATGAGAAAGCATTTGGGACAGGAGACAGGAGTCAGAGACTGAAGCGTATTAAATTGCTATGTGACCTTAGGGAAGTCACTTTACCCTAGTTGTGCCTCAGTCTTCTCGTTTATAATATAAAAGGAGTGGCTGATGCTATTCAAAGTGCCAAGATAAGAAGCCTATATAAGAATGTAAATCAACACAGAAAGAATCATTAAGAAAGTCTGATTACAAAAACCACTGAGCTGAACTAGGTAGTGTGCTTAGGGGTGTAGCTGACTTGCATTCTGGTGCAAGCTCCTTATCACACATCAGGTAGGAAACAAATAGTTCATATCCTGGCAATGGTTCATGGACTGGTACTGAGTTACTTTGAGTAATACTGGACTAGGCTATCTCTTTAAACTTTCTTAACTTGCATTCTCAAATTGTTTGAGACCAAATGGAGTAGTATTATGAAAGACTATTTTGTCTTACTTTCTTTTTACTTGCTTTCAAATTTAAAACAAATATGCAAAAAAAAGTAAGATATGGCTTAAAGTGTCTTAGTTGGATACAAGTTCTAAATCTCCCCAAAATGTAAAAAACAATCACTTATTCAATTATGCCTCCATTACACAAATATTCATGAATGGCTAGTAGGTTTAATTGAAGAATTATACCTATGATGTAATGCGTACAACCATTCTAGCCTTGAGGAATATCGGGCTCTCTAGAAAATGTGATTCTTAAGTTGGGACTTAAATCATGAATTAAATTTAGCTAGACAAAGAATCAGGAACAGTGATAAGGAAGGATGGGCACATGAAAAAGAACATTATAAAAGGTGAAATGCACAAGCAGTGTTCTGTTGCTGAGATATAAAGAGCAAGAGGGAAGATGATAAGGTAGGCAGATGCTAGGTCATAGAACACCATGAATTCTAGGTTGAGGAGTTTAAGCATTTCCTACAGGTGATGGAAAACAATTAATGGGCTGTCAAGCAGTAGGACAATAAGATCAAATGAATCACTCTGATGGCTATATGAAGAATGGATTTGGAATGGAAAATCTTGATGCATGAAGACTAAATCCAGTTAGGAGGAAGTTACATACAGTATCTAAGGCTGGAGAGATAATGACATCTTGAAGTACAGAAATTTTTGTAATACATAAGAGGAAAACAAAGCAGATTTAATAAATAGGTCAAATTAATAGGCTAGATAACTTAATGGATAGTCTTCATTCCTTGATAATTTCAGCTCCTGATCCACTTCCACGCTCTTCCACAGTATTTTAGTTTAATTATTGGTGATTCAAAAATCCACACAGACGGTTCTTTCTCAGTTCATAGACCTCCTCTTCTCCAATGATCTTGCGCTCTCCTATACCAGGCCAGCCACCCCATGGTCAAACCCAACTCTGCACCATTAACTATATACTTACAACTTTAAGTATCCTAGTTTTTGACCATTGCCTCTTATCTTTCCAGCTCACTTCTTCTAATATTCCAATAGTAATAGCCTTTTCATTCTAAGTGTAATGGCTTGAATTGTGTACCCCAACAACCCTGTACCTGTGAATGTTACCCTGTTTGAAAATAGGGTTTTTGTTATGCTAATGAGGTCATACTGGAGTAGGGTGAGTCTTAAACCTAGTCCCTTCTGACTGATGTCTTATAAAGGGGAGTACAGACACAGAGATACACATGCAGGGGGAAGGCACCAAGTCAGGACCTATCTACAAGCCAGGGAAAGCCAAGAAATCCCTGGGATTATCAAAAACTGAAAGACAAAGAATGATCTCCTACAGCAGACAGATCTTAACCTTTCTGATGCTCCAAAATTGGACTCCTAGACTCCAAAACTGTAATAGAATAAATTCTTGTTTCTTAAAGCTCCCAAGGGTCCCTAGGTGGCACAAATGGTTTGCACTTGGTGGCTAACGTAAAGGTTGGCAGTTTGAAGCTACCAGTTTTAGCATAAAAAAAAGTTCTGGTAATCTCTTCTGTAAATATTACTGCCAAAATCTCTATTCACTTGGAGCTGTAGAAGAAAAAGGAGTCACAGAAATTGGAGATAGAAATGGACTAGAGGTCTAATTGACTCTGTGAACTACTAGCTCCTTTGCCATGAGACCAGAAGAAATAGATGGTGCCCTACCATTACTAACTATTTTGATCAATAGATGGATCCTGATCAAAAGGAGGAAAAATATGGAAGAGAACATTGAATTGCTATGGAAACTATACTTACTGGATCCATTGAGACTGGGTGAGTCCCTGAATCTACTGTCCGGAAATAATGTTTAATCCTTGAACCAAAATTATCCCATGAAGTCATCTGTAAACAAAACAATGGCTTAACTCAATTAATAAAGAATATCAGCCTTGAACATTTCTCTCTTTTGAAGAATTATCTATATGCAATCAAAGTGTCAACAGTAACTTCAAAGCACAGATAAGAACTTTTAGGGGCATATGGAGTAGAAGTTAGTGGTGGGGAAGTAATATGGGTAGAAATCATGGGAATGGTGACACAATGTTAAGAATGTAACCAATGGCATTAATCTGTACACGTAGAAATTGTTGAACAAGTATATGTTTTGTTGTGTATATTTTCACTAAAAAAATAAATAAATATTACAGCCAAGAAAGCCCTATGTTGCAACTGTAATGCTGGGGGTCACCAGGAATCAGAATCAGCTTGACTGCAACCACCACCACCACCAACAAAAGACTTCACTTGTGGTATTTTTGTTGCAGCAGCCCAAGGTAACTAAGACACCAATATTACACCCAATTAACTCATCCTACCATCTTTTCACGGTTGTTCAGATGCTGATGTCCTGCCTTTCTTCCTTACTCACTCAGAATAAAAGCCAAAATTTACAGGCCAGCAAAGCCTTTTATAGTATGGACCCCAGATTCTTCTATAACCTCATCTCCTACTATTCTCCCTCTCCTTTAGCCACCTCAGACTGCTTGCTATTCCTCAAACATAGGCATTCTTTAAATATTCTAGATATGGGTCCTTTAATAAATATGTATATGGCAAATATGTCCTCCCACACTCTGGCTTACCTTCTCCTTCTCTAAAAGTTGGTTTCAATTGGCTTCCAATGAATAGTTTGGATTAATAGTTGGGATTAATTTATATTTAATGAATTGTTGGAGTTACAATAAAAACAAAAGAAAATCTCTATCACCAGAAGTGAAGAGGTAGCTGAAGGCCAGAGAGATAGGCTAAAAAGCTAGCACTGCTATAGCTCTGGATGACTGCTGGGGCTACTGGGACTTGTGTTTTCATGCCCAAACATAAATGGGAGATAGTCCTCAGATCCATAACAAGTAGGGGATTGGAAGTGATATCCTTACACCAAGCCAAAATTCCCAAAGTGCTCATTCAGAGACAAGGAAACTAATAAAATCTGTCCAACAGCCTGGGGAGAAAAAAAGAGAAGATTATCTTGCCTTCCGTGGGAAAATAATGTTTTCTGTTAAAAACTTCCGTTAGAACCTAAACCATGCACTTCACATGGATTTGGACTCCAAAATTACACTTCTCATATTATGAGGGAAAGCCCAGACTATAAATTGGAGTTTTAAAATAGAAAATATAGATCAGTATGGTGATCTCTTATCAAAAACGAAAAAAATTGTTCATCAATCCCTACCTCATGGGATTTTCATGGGACAGGATAAGCAGGGACCAAGACATATCAAACATGAGATTACAAACAAAAATTACCCAGAAAGCAGCAAAATGCTGATTGGAAAATACCAGCTATACAAAGGACATATTTAGAGGCCTCAATATCTATCCAGTGGGAATTCCAGAAGTAGAGAACAGAGAGCCTGGGGGAGAGGAAATATACGTAAACAATGTTAAGATTGTTCTAGAATTCATGAAAGACAGGATTTCTCAGTTGAGAAAGAAAAATGAGTTCTAAGCAAAATAAGTAAAAAATGTGCTTTACCTTAGTTACTATATTACCAGCCATTTTTATAGTACTTACTTCTGAATGATAATTACTTTATGAGTAATAAAAATGTATAGTACAATATTTAAAAGGTATAAATGATTTATTAGGAAAATTTAAGTTTCTTCTCATCCCTGTTTATTCCTTAACAGAGAAAACTATTTCTACCAGTTTCTTACATATCTTTCTAGAAATATTCTATGCGTATACAAAAAGTATATATACATCCAAATCCAAATACATTTTTTTTACACATTTGATAGACTACCATATAAACTTCACTTGTTGTTTTTAATAATAATCAAGTTGTTACAAACAAGAAAATATAAAATTAACTCATTATTTTTAATGACTACATAATTTTCAATTGAATAAATGGATAATAACTTCCTTTTTACAATTTTTATTGTGGTGAAATATATATATATATACATAAAACAAACATTTGCCATTTCGATCATTTTTGTGTATATAATTCGGTGACATTATGTTCACCGTTTCTGCAACCATCAAAATTATGTCTCTAAATTTTTTCATCACCCTTAATAGAAATTTAGTACTCCTTAAGGACTATGTCCCCATTATTATTATCCATTACTGGATGGGCAAATTGTTTCTAATCATTTTATTATAAACAATGCTACAATACATATTCTTACCTTGTTGTCGTTGTGTGTCATCAAGTGGATTCGGACTCATACCAACCCTGCAGGACAGAGTAGAACTGCTCCCATAGGGTTTTCTAGGTGGAAATCTTTATGGGAGCAGGTCACCAGGTCTTTTCTCTCATGGAATGGCTGGTGAGCTCGAACTACGGACTTTTCTGTTAGCAGCCAAGTAGCTTAACCGTTGTGCCTCAGATATTGTTTCACATAATTTTTATCTCTAGATAAATTTATAAAGATGGAATTGATGAGTCAGAGCACGGTGTATATACAAAAATATTGATAGATAATAATGACCTTCTCATTTTTTTCTGTGAAAGGACTACATGTTTGCTGAAACTTTAGACATATTTTCTTAGATTTCAAAATATTCAAGGTCTGAGCACTGCTTAACTTTATTCTCTTTGCAAAGCATCTAATACAAAATACCTAACTGCCTGTGTGATGTACACATGACATATGTACTTTAATTGTGATGGTGATTAACATTTAACCCAGGTAAATATTTTAGTTAATTTGCTCAGTCTGTTGTGTTACCCCCAGGGGGAAAACAAAACAAATACAATGTGATTTCCAGAATTTTTTCCACCCCAAAACAAAAAAAATCATTCTTCAATCTTCAAGATCTACATCAAAAGCTATGTTTTCGGTTCTGGCTGGTCTGACCCCTATTTCCCCAAGTCAGAATTTGTCAGCTTTTCTAACTACTTCTTTAGCCCTTTTCCCTTACTAAGCATTGACTTCAGAGCCCTGGTGGCACAGTGGTTAAGAGTTGGGCTGCTAACCTAAAGGTCGGCAGTTGGAATCCACCAGCCACTCCCTGGAAACTCTATGGGGCAGTTCTGCTCTGTCCTATAGGGTCCCTGTGAGTTGGAATTGACTTGATGGCAACGGGTTTTTACGTAAGCATTGATTTCACATGTGTACAATCTGCCTCACTTCTTAGACCATAAGCTTTCTCAGAGCTGGGACAGTGTCTGTCTTACTCTAGTGTCTGGCTGAGTGACTGAAGCTAACTTAGCAACTCAGTATGCTTCTATTATATTAAACTGAAACAGAACATAGTTATACGGCAGTTCTAAGTTCAAACCATGGAATATTCCAAAACTGGTGTAAAAGTAGTAAGTTAAAATAAACTTAGGACAATAAACAAAATACTTTTGTCTACATTTTTGAAGCTTCTAGTGTTCGAGATAAATGCTCTAATTGAAAATATGTTTGGGTGAGAGAGTAATATTTTTATATATGATCATCAACTTCTCCCCTCATAAGCTCAAAAAAACCAAAAACCCATTGCCATTGAGTCAATTCCAACTCATAGTGATCATAAGCTCCTGGCATAGAAAAAAAAAATTACTTTGCAAGATTCTCTGTCTCAGAAATTCTGAAAATTCAAGGATTTCTAGGCTAAATATATCCTAGTTGTACCTGTCCTCCTCATGACAATGAGTGTTTTCTGGAAACAAGATTACCATGCAGACTTCCTAGAATTGGAACACAAAGACCCATCAGGCCAATCACCTATTTGTAACAACACTGAATTTTCTAGGACTTCTGGAGAATTTGCATTTGGTATCAATAAGGATAAAACAAAAAATCAAAACTAATGAAATGCTAAGAATTTTGTGCAATTTGCTTAAAATACTTTACACTCAAATGCAGTCCAGTTACAGGACAGTGTATTGGGATCAAGGGCATGACCTCTCAAAGCCCAAGTCCTGAATCCTCATAGACTCCCAGTGTAAGTTCACTGACAGAATGCACAAAATAGTCCGATAATAGATTTTTTACTACTTTCATAAATGTGAAATGTTGGATAATGAGATAGTAAGTGAGGAGTAGGTATAACAAACTTTCGGATTAGCAAAATATATAGTTGGATAGCTTCAACTGATGCAAATTTACTCTGACGCTCAAGAGTCTTCCAAGTAATCAAAATTTTCAATCTTTAATTTTTTCAAGTACTTAAATAAGTAGTCATGCGTTTGTCTATGTAAGGAGATTTTTTTTTTTTTTTTTTTTGGAATCAGATGAGTCCGTCAAATCATGAAAATCTATAACTTATTTCAAAAGACAAAAATTTGGGTAGACTTTATTCGATCCAGCTCAAGGAATAATTAATTAGGAGCATAATTCGGGTCTATAAAATTGTTGTGTTTAATCCCCAGTAAAATATAATTTTTGAGTAAAATTATTCAATTAGCATAAGTAAGATTTTTTTGTCAACATAGTCATCTAATTTACATTTAAAGTTACATAATGTGTATTTTCTTTACTATTCTCAAGGAACATGACAACTTCTCAAATGATCCATTCCAGCAACAGAGCTTCAGACAGCTTTCATTTGTTGAAAAGCATTTTCATTTATTATAAAGCAAATGAATTTCTTCCAAAACCTTAGCTCTCCTTATCAAATACAAATACATTGCCACTTGAAGCAATTATCCCCAAATGGTTGATTTACACAGTCTCAAAAGCCATAAATTCCCAGGCAAATAAATCACTTTGCATTTGGTTTCAACAAAGATAAAAGATTTCTTTTTTAAAGGTGCTGACTAAGAATGTTGTGGAATTTGCTTAAATACTTCATACTTTAATTAAAAAATATATTGGTGTGTTTCATTTCCCTGAGAACAGCAGTATGATAATAAGTTCTTAACAATTCAGATCTGTGTCTTTTCATGGTGCATTTTGCAATTCTAGCCTACTTTTTTTTTCCCTTTCTCTAATCAGTAATCAGTACTTTTTGAGGTTTATGTGTACAGTATGTAATTTGATTTTCTTCCCTGGCAGGCTGTTACATAGACTGAATACAGAGATTAAAAGTACATATATTTAGAATCAAGGAAAGCATAATATATGTTTTTGCTGCTCTCCAATGATGAACACGATGCATTAATCAACGTAGCAGGCTTCCAGCAAAGCATCGCAGTTTCTCCTGCTCAAAGGAAATAACAGCAATTTTTTTAATTAGCTTCCAGCATCAGGTATGGAACTGGGGAGAGAACCAGGGGCATGTGGTCTCCTGCCATAATCTTAGTATAAAGGGTTTCTCTTTGCTTCGCAATCCTAATGCCTCAGATATACTTGGGACAGTGTAATTTTTATTCTAGGATGATAATATTTCATTCTTGCCTTCTTGGTTAATTGGTTCTATCTTGTTTTTCTTCCTTTTAATGCAACTGTAGCTTTAACCGCAGACTCTCGAATCTGTCTTAATAAAAATCACCTGTTGGGTTGATCCCCAGCTTTGTTGGCTGGGCATTGTTTGTGCATTGTCTGATTTAATTGTGGTAAAGTGCACCTGGGTTACTATGACACTGGCGCACAGTGTGATTTGATTGGAGGTTAGAGACTGTAAACAGGTTTCATGGAATTATATAGAATTTTAAAATAATGGAACTGGCTGAAACCCTATAATTTTTTATCCTCAACTCCCTTGATTTCTACATAAGGAAACTGAGACCCAAGGAAATAAGAGAATATCAAGTTTCATCATCTGATTAGTTAACAAAATAAAAATGAGAACTAAATTTTCTTGATCATTAAAACGGGGTAATTTGTAATATGGCATAAATCCAAGTGATTTATATATGTCTGTGGGCCCATTATATGGATGTTTTTACTGCAAATCTAATTTTCTGATTTCAAATTTGTAGGGGGAATAAGATTTATGGGGATACACATGTAAAGGAAATTAAATTTTGTTTTTTTTAACAGTGATAAGACAGGATTTGTTTATGTGCCCTGAAGGTCTCTTTGGATCAGGTTACTTAATCTAAACTAGATTACAGTGAGATATGAGCAGTCTCCACAATCTAATGGAAAGAAGTTCAATGGCCTTATCTGGAAAGAGAAATGGTGTCAATCAGTATCTGGGAGGAATATCATCTGAGAATGAATTGGAATGGTACCAGTACTTGCCTTAGTATGGAACTTTCTGATCCACAAAGTGAATTTATAGTCAATATTCTTTTCATCCTTACTTTGATGAGGATGGTGATGATGATGACAGCAATCATTAATAATCTTAATAATAATTATATCTTGGGTGCCATACATTGTTCTATGTTCTATTTATTGGAATTTTGTTTAATAGGTACTATTATTATTATTCCTGCTTTGTAGACAAAACTCTACCCCAAGTTCTATAATCTTTCCACTATTCCATACAAAAAAAAATTACATATTAGTAATCTCTTTTCTTTGCCATGTGTTATAAAATTGGAAGATGTATGTATAGGAGATACCCTGACACCTTCATTCTCACATTTCTATGAAAGAAGACATGTCATCCACTTGAGAAGTACCAGAATGGGGACATCTACATCTCTCCCATCCATTATCAGTCTTCTCCATAGGAAAGATAAGGAGCTGTGATGTCCAGTTGATGAGAATGAGAATCTGTGGCCTGATTTTCATGCAGCCCATTTCTCTGTAGATTGCTATTACTATGATGAAAGTATCTAATCACAGGTGGCCCAGCTGTCCTTCTCTTGATTCCTTAGGGGAACTATCTGAGTTCAGACTCAGCTGGCCTGCCACTTCCAGTCCTGAGAAGTAGAATGGTGCAGTGGTTTGGAACCTAGGTTCTGCCTTCAAACTGTCTGGATTCCTATTGGGCTCCAGTCACGTACTGTAGGAAGTAGAAGCAATTCTCATTTTCCAATAAAAGCCCATTTGTTCCTAATAGAGGGAAAGTCATGAATCCATCATCTTTGGAAATCTTACTCAGAAAGCTCTCCCAGCTCAGTCATGTTTGTTCTAGGCAAAGAAGTGCCAAAACACATAGTGATTTTAACCTTCAAAACTTAGTCATTACCTGACCATCAACAAAAGTATCATCTCTTTTGGTAAAATTTATTGCAAATATATTATTACCTAACTCCCTTTTCTAAGGCTGCACATAAACTATATCTTGTCCAACTCTTGGTCCAAAGTTCAATCATTCTCACTTTCAATAAATCAAAATCTTATTTAAATGTTTTCCTTTTACAATTGAGAAAGAGAAGCACAGAAGGGTAAAGTGACTTATCCCAGGTCGAATAACAATATAGTAACAGAATCATGGCAAGCACCCAGGTCTGTGGCTTCTAGTCTCATTTTCTGTCTATGCTGGTGTAACTAACATGTAAGTCCTAAGTACTCACAATGTTCCAGATGGACCAGTCCAAGCATTCACTACCCATTAGGTTTTTGGATCTCTTTCATGTATATTCCAAGTAGGTACACGGCTAAGTTATTACTGTATTGTTTTTCTGAGGAAATGCAGAAGTTGAAATTAAATGAGAGCTAGAAAAAGGAAATAATTAACAATCTTGTAGTCAGAAGTACACATCAGATTAGAGAACAGAAGCCCCTGGTATCTGGAGAATTCACTTCCTTACTTTTGCCTTCAGGCATATACATTCCAGACAGATTTGAAAGAACTAAAAATAATTTTAATGGTTATGTATGATACTTAAGGACTTAATATAAAAGACGCTTATGTATCAAACATGATAATTAAAGCATCATTGTCAGACATTATGAAAAATACCTTCCTGCTGACATAAATTCTTATAATCTTTGCTTTTCATACTTTAATTCTCTGTGTATCTTTTGTGGGACCTCCCCCACCCCGCCTCAACAAAGTGTGAGGAGCTTTTTATGATCCCCTATCTCCTTCTGCTTCAAATATAATAACCTTTAATGCCAGAAATAGACCCATCTTACCTGTTCTGTCTTCCGCCAAGATAGAGAACATCTTGTCACCAGCCTTCATGCAGTACCCACCAAATACTTAAAAGAGCTATTCCTCTAGGTCTGAAGTTTAAAAAAAAAAAAAGCAAGAAAGAAAAGAAAACATCATCTCCACATTAGTGGGTTTCTGTTTGATTTGCAGAATTTTTCTTAACAATTTAATGATCACTTTCCTTCTTTTGGAAGTCTCCTCAGTATTCCCACATCACATGTCAGTCGATGGGACAGATAATTGGCCCTGGTTCTCTGGAAAGGGCCTGAGAAGTGGATGAACTGATGTGAATAAATTGATTGAGGCAAAGCAGTAATCTCTGCCTAGCTATCAGAATCATTGAAAGGATGCTGTGAAAGCTACTCCAGAAACACAGCCTGCAGCACTAAGGTAGAGGACAACTACCAGGACTAGCAGCGAGCTGGGGCCTGCCCCCGAGCTGGGGCCTGCCCCCGGGACTTTTGCCCTACCCATCTTGTTCCAGCCTTATCTGTGCAGAAGGCTTAGCGGCTCTCTCCCAAACCTCAAGTAGCTCATGTTGTTTTTGTTGTTACCTGCATCAAGTCCACCTTGATGCATGGCACAATAGATTGGACTATTGGGATCCTGTCTTAGTCATCTAGTGCTGCTGTAACAGAAATACCACAAGTGGATGGCTTTAACAAGAGAAATTTATTCTCTCACAGACTAGGAGGGTAGAAGTCCAAATTCAGCGAGCGCAGTCCAGGGAAAGGATTTTTCTCTGTGTCAGCTCTGGGGGGAGGTCCTTGTCATCAATCTTCCTTGGTTGAGGAGCTTCTCAGCTCAGGGACCCCAGGTCCAAAAGACGTGTTATTCTCCTGGCTCTTGTTTCTTAGTGGTACAAGGTCCCCATGTCTCTCTGCTCGCTTGTCTCTTTTATATCTCAAAAGAGATTGGCTTAAGACACAACCTAATCTTGTAGATTGAGTCCTGCCTCATTAACATAACTGCCTCTAATCCCATCTCATCACATCATAGAGATAAGATTTACAACACACAGGAAAATCACATTAGATGACAACATGGTGAACAATCACACAATACCGGGAATCATGGCCTAGCCAAGTTGACACATTATTTTTTGGTGACACAATTCAATCCATGACAGATCCATAGAGTTTTCATTAGCTGATTTGTGGAAGTAGATCACCAGGTTTTTCCTTCTACTTTGTCTTAGTCAGGAAGCTCCACTGAAACCCATTTAGTATCATAGCAACATGCAAGCCTCCACTGACAGATGGGTGTTGGCTGTGCACGAGGTGCATTGGCTGAGAATCAAACCACAATTTTCTGCGTGGAAGGAAGGAATTCTACCACTGTCCCCTCATGTAGACCATAAACAACTTGAAAGCAAGGAAGCAACCAACTGGGTATTTTGCATCTCAGTATCCATCACATCACCTATAGAGCTAAAGTCCTAAATACTCTTTAGTTAACAATTCCTAAATAATTAATGAAATGTCCCTGGGTTGCACAAGGGGTTTGTGATCACCTACTAACCTAAATGTTGGCGGTTCGAACCCACCCAGCAGTGCCAAGGAAGAAAGCCTTAGCAATCTGCTTCTGTAAAGACTACAGCAAGCAAACCCTATGGAGCAGTTCTCTTCTGTAAAGCATGGGATCGCTATGAGTCATAATCAACCTGATGGCAGCAAGTTTTTAATTAAATAATGAAACCTATCCAAAAAAAAACCAAATTCATTACCATTGAGTCAATACCAACTCATAGTAACCCTAAAGGACAGAGTAAAGCTCCCTATAGGGTTCCCAAGGCTGTAAACTTTACGGAAGGATCCCTGATGGCAGCAGTGGTTAAGCACTTGGCTGCTAACCGAAGGGCTGGTCATTCGAACCCACCAGCCGCTCCATGGGAGAAAAAAGAGGCAATCTGCTTCCATAAAGATTTACAGCCTTGGAAACCCTATGGGGCAGTTCTACTCTGTCCTATAGGGTTGCTATGAGTTGAAACCAACTTGACAGCAATGGATTTGGGTTTTGGTTTAATCTTTACGGAAGCTGACTGCCACATTTTTCTCCTGCAGAATGGCTGGCGAATTCGAATGGCTGATCTTTCTATCAGCAGCTGTGCACTTAATCACTGTGTCACCAGGACTCTGTATAGGTTTAGGCTTCATAGGACACCTGATAGTGCAGTGGTTAAGGACTCGACTGCTAACCAAAAGGTCGGAGCTTCAAACCCACTAGCCTCTGCAGTAGAAATACGTGGCAGTCAGCGTCTGTAAAGATTACAGCCTTGGAAACCTTGTGGGCAGTTCTCTATCCTACAGGGACACTATAAGCCTGAATCGACTCAATACTTATAAAATACTTTTTTCTTTTTTTTTTTTAGGTAAAGAATCAAAAAAAACTTTATTCTAAACCTTGAATAATGAAAATAATTGCTAATGAGCAAGACTATCTGCTAAGAGTCAGGCAAAGTATTTTGCTAACTTTATATCATTTAATCCTTTAAAAACTCTAGAAAGTAGATAATATTGTTGTAATTTCACAGAAGCGAGGCTTAGAAATGTTAAGTATCTTGCTCAAATGGAGCCCTAGAGGCACAAGGTTAAGCACTCAGCTGTTAACCCAAAGACTGGCGGTTCACACCTACCCAGCAGCTCAGTGGGAGAAAGACCCGGTGATCTCCTCCTGTAAAGATTACAGCCTAGGACACCCTATGGGGCAGTTCTACTTTGTTATGTGGGGTTGCTATGAATTGAAACGGACTCACCTAACAATGACAACGTCTTGCTCAAAATTATAAAGCTACTGTGTGGTAGAGCTGAAACTACAACTTGTTTTTGTTTGTTTTTTGACATCAGAATCCAGGTTCATAAAGAGACAGACTCTAGGAATGAAATCAGGTAGCTCACAATCTTTCCTTATAACTTTTATCTCCAACAAATAAACGTACACAATATAACCCAAAATACTGGTCTTGAGAGACCCAACCAGTGATTTTAGATAAATGCTGATAACATTTAAACTAGAAGACCTGCCATCTAAGATACTCCAATGGTCTCCCATTGAAAAAAAAAGTACAACAAAATTCTAACTCACAAAAAAAAAAAAAGACCAGATTTACTGATCTGACAGACTGGAAAAACCCAGAGAGTATGGCCCTTATAGCTCAGTAATGAAATCACTCCTGAAGTTCACCCTTCAGCCAAAGATTAGAAACGCCCATAAAATGAAATGATACTAAATGGGCATACCAGCCCAGGGATAAGGATAAGAAGGCAAGAGAGGGCAGGAAAGCCAGTAATGGGGAACCCAAGGTCAATAAGGGGAGAGTGTTGACATGTAGTGGGATTGGCAACCAATGTCACAAAACAATATGTGTATTAATTGTTTAATGAGAAACTTGTTTGCTCTGTAAACCTTCATTTAAGGTACAATAAAAATAAATAAATAAATAAACCAGAAGACCTGACATTAGCTATGGAGCTTTATGACCTTGGGCTTGATCCACTTCAGAAAAGACCACATTGTAGACTCCTAGACAAGATGATAATCTGAGAAGAAAAGAAGCCCTATCCAATACTCACACTCACTCCAAACACATAGAAATTGTGGATAAACTTTTCTAGCTTTTTTAAACATTAAAATGAAAATCAGGAAAGAAAGCTCTTCAGATACCAGAAGTAAAGATGAAATGCATAGTCATGACAGCGAATGGGATTTGAAGCCACGCAACCCGTGGGGATGTCAAACCTACGTGTGCTTCTTAAGGAGTGAATTTTAATGTCAGAGCTGCGATAGAGATCAGGCTACGGACAGAGTCAGGAAGTAGAACTGGCCACTTTGCATATTAAGAGAGGCTGTACCATTTATACGCTGAGGCTAAAATAAATGTCTGAAGCTCATACCTTGCCCCGGAAGTAAGCCGTTGGCCTTACAACATGGATGGAATCAAGACATCCTCAACAAATCTGAATCTTGTGTCTGTGCTCTGTGCATTGCAGGGACAAAATTACTATAACAGATGTGAAGTTGAGATTGCTGATCAAAAATAAACTGATCAAAAACTGGTTTGAAACCACCCCATAAGGGTGCTTTCAACATACCAAAAGGTTATCCATGTACTGGGTTAAGGAAGAATTATAGGATAACTAGAAATCCTTGAAATTCTGATTACCAGATATACTATATATATATATATATATATATATACACTATATAAAGATGTTTACCTATGTTTTATTGACTGTGCAAGGCATTCAACTGTGTGGATCATAACAAAGTATGGATAACACTGCAAAGAATGGGAATTTCAGAACATTTAATTGTGTTCATGAGGAACCTGTACTTAAACAAAGAGGCAGTCATTCTAACAGAACAAGGGGATGCTTCGTGGTTTAAAGTTGGGAAGCGTATGTGTCAGAGTTGTATCCTTTCACCATACTTATTCAATCCGTATGCTAAGCAAATAATTCGAGAAACTGGACTATATGAAGAAGAATGGGGTTTTCACGATTGGAGGAAGACTCATTAACAACCTTCGTTATGCAGATGACACAACCTTGCTTGCTGAAAGTGAAGAGGATTTGAAGAACTCACTGATGAAGATCAAAGACTACAGCCTTCAATGTGGATTATACCTCAACATATAGACAACAAAAATCCTTACAACTGGTCAAATAAGCAACATCATGATAAACGGAGAAAAGATTGATGTTGTCAAGGGCTTCATTTTACTTGGATCCACAATCAACGCCTATGGAAGCAGCAGTCCAGAAATCATACAACAACATTGTATTGGGCAAATCTTCTGCAAAAGACCTCTTTAAAGTGTTAAAAAGCAAAGATGTCACCTTGAGGATTGAGGTTCACCTGACCCAAGCCATGGTATTCTCAATCGCCTCATACGCATGCGAAAGCTGGGCCATGAATAAGGAAGATAGAAGAACTGACACCTTTGAATAGTGGTGTTGGTGAAGAATATTGAATATATCAAGGACTTCCAAAAGAACGAACAAATCTGTCTTGGAAGAAGTGCAGCCAGAATGCTCCTTAGAAGTGAGGATAGAGAGACTTTGTCTCACATACTTTGCACATGTTATCAGTAGGGATCAGACCCTGGAGAAGGACATCATGCTTGGCAAAGTAGAGGGTAGCTGAAAAGAGGAAGACCCTCAACGAGATGGACTGACACAGTGGCTGCAACAATGAACTCAAGTACAACAACGATTGTGAGGATGGCACAGGACCAGGCAGTGTTTAGTTCTGTTGTACATAGGGTCACTATGAGTCAGAACTGACTTTAGGACACCTAATAGCAACAACAACATATATACTATTAGCTTCCCCCAAAAAGGCAAAGTAGTACTATAGAAATCTAAGGGGACGCTATAAAAAGCAGAACATAGATCCGCAACTATATAATCAGTAACATAGGACAAAATCAAGGCAAAATTAGATTTTGAATTTGGCATCAATTAAAAGTTGATACTTCTTAGATCATGAATGAAACTGTAACCCTATCTATTGGTTTTCTTTAAAAGAAGAATTTAAGTATCGCAAAGGCTAGTGCACGGTATAATAATACTCATTTATAACATTTCTTTTACTATGGGCTTTCCTTTCTTTACATACATTTCCAAGAGGTAGTTTGCAAAACTGGGTAAAGATTTGGATGAGTCAGTCTGAATATTGATGAGCTCAGTCCCAATAACTCTTCCAATTTCTGTAGAATTTTAGCCCATAAGATGTCTGATATACTGAAAATGTCTTCAAGTTTGGGTCTGATTTAAAAGAACAAATTACATGTTCTTACACTGACAATTATGTGTTGAAATTAGCTTTTATCTTATTACAAATAGAGAAAAATTCAGGAATTTCAAGGGAGACGCTTGCAAGGAACACTGGATATAGCAATTCTATTTACCAACAATCCTTCCCAAGAGCAGAGCATGTCTCTTCAACAATGGAGCCCAGGTACAACTACTGACTGGGAGATAGGGAGTGTCTGAGGGCTGTAGGAGATGCCTATTATTTTGTCCATTCATTGATTCTGAGCAAGAGGGATGAGCCCAGTGGTAGGATTTATTGTTAAAAGTTGAGCACTGGTATCTATAAGCAAACAATGACTTTGGCTTTCAATAGTTAATAACAATTCTTGTGAATTTAAAGAAAGAGTTGAAAGTTGGAGCTAAATTCGCCCTCAGAGCACCCTTTAGTAAAGTGATTTTTGAGTCTAAATTTCTTTTAGAGTATTTTTCATACCAACTGAAAAACAGATCATTAAATATTAGGAATTTTCTTGCCCTTTTGCTCTGAGGCATTTTTAAGATGGACAATTTGGTTGTGTTGAAAAGTCCCCATCCTTCATGTAATTATCATTGATGAAATTGTGCAATTTTCTGACACGTGCAAGAATTTGAGTTATAAAAAGATAGAACTAGAAGCAGGGATCTAGCCTGGCTAAGATATAGACTGGGAATATTATCACGAGTGCTGATAACAGCTGGTTAAGTATGTCATTTCGAACCTCATGTCTCATGCCAGCTGCCCAGAAGTTGGCCATTTCTAAACACAGACCTGACAGTCAACCTTCCCCTGCCTCATCAGTTTTGGTGATTTTATTATCTAAATCAGTACTCAAGGATATAAAGAAAAGATAGAAGAAAAATAGACATAATAAATTTTTTGGATGCTGACTCAAAGCAGAGTTTGTCAAAGGAGGAACAGTTATCTGACAAGACCTTATACATTTCAGTCTTTGGAGTGAGTTTTGTTCACGGATTTATTGGGACTCTCTCTACTGACTGTTGTAGGCAAACAATGTTCTTGACGATATAGGACAAGGCAAAGTAAGGTCAGATGAACACAATTTTAGCAAGAATTTTTGGGAAAATATTCTGATCAGACTTCAGCAGATGCAATCTAGTTTTCCCAAGAAAAAAAATGAAGCTCAGTGCTTAAAGACTTCAACAAAATCAGAGCAGAGACTCAGCATATGACGTAGCTCTGTGTGGGCTGGGAAGCTTACGTGGAAAAGACACAAGAGCGTTGGAATATACTCACAAAAATGGTCTGGATTAAGAGCCCTGGTCCATTCCAAGGTGGGGTGAGGTCACAGCTGAATTTCTGTGGATCCTTCAAATTATGAACACCCCTCCTCAAATAAAGAAACCTGTTAGAATATAAGCAAACTGAGTTTTATTAACTTACTGAAGCCAAGGAGAAAATTACATAGACAATCCTGAAATGTTTTCTCATTAGAGGAAGTGAGAGTAAAGTTTTTATTGCTTCTGGATTGGGCTCAGAAGTCTTCATGTAGGGTCTCAGGAGGAGGAGTCTTTGGATTGGTTGATTTCCTAAGCGTCAACACAAGTGAGTCAAGGTTCTGAGAGAAGAAGGAAGTGTTGTACAATCAAGACATCACACAATTGAAATTGCATAACTGGTTGGAGAGGTGGCTGTTCCAGTTCTCAATGTGAATTATGAAAACAAGCCTCACGAAGTTCCCCAAGCACAGGCCTTCTTCCATGGTTCCACATAGCAGCTCTGTATCAGAAGACTTCCAGGTAGAGGCTTTGTATTTTATAAATGTTGACATTCTCTCATAGTGCCTAACCCAGTGCTGCGGCAGAACAGAAACTCAGCGAATATTTATGCTAGACCGATTGTGGCCTGCATCACTGACCACACCCTCTTTGGAACTAGGTTAGTGCTGGTTAAGTCTGAATTTTGCCTTCACCCTCGATCGGCCTATCCCCTAGAGAGTTCCCTTCCTCCTGACTGCCTTGCTTGTGGCTGGTTAAGTGGAGACCTTGTTGCTTCTGCTCCCATTGCTTCCACTTCCCTGGCGTGCAGGTAATGCGCTGCCTCCCCAGCTGTCGCCACACATGCTCCCTATCTTTAGTTCAGCTCCAATTCCCACCAGTCACAGTGCAATTTTTCCCCCAACTGCTACTGATCTTCACCACAGGAAGACATACAATTGCTTCAGTAAAGTAGTTATCGTATTTTGCAGTCGGGTCAGCCATTTTGCAACACAGGTGCATTTAATGAATCAGAGCCACATGCTCTACAAATGAACCAGACTCTGCCTTTTGACCTAAAGTGAATAAACCATGCTTCCAGTTAAGGCAGCAAGGCTCTGACCTGTTAATTACTACAATAGCTTGACTTAGTTTGGGGATATCTGAGACTGTGGCTGGTGGAGATGAGAAATTAGGCATGAAGATAGGCTGCAAATATGACTCAGTTATAATGTTAACCTCAATGTGTTATTCAATCTAATACAATGAATCCGAAGCAGTGGGATCTGGTCCCAGTAGTCATTGGTATTCAAGGGAGAACAAATAAGTGGAGCGGCAGCCAAAGAAGTCCAGACAGGTGGCACCTTAAGTATCTTTAGCATCTAACACAGAACCTAGCAAACAGTAGGCAGGCAGAAAATATTTGTGGATTAAGGGAAGTCAAGAAGACCTCAGCCATCTAGGGAAAAGACTGACAAGATACAGGCAGGGCATCAAGGACATAGTTAAGGGACCTGGTGATCAGGGCAAATACTGGAGTGCTAATGCTGTATCTCTCAGTCAGGACTGGCTGAGGACAAGGGATGACTGAGCCCTCAGGAAAAGGTATCATTGATTACAGATTACATGGGCTAAGGAAGGCAAGAATTCCATCTATCCTTAAAATAACCCAACCAAATTGTAACAGAGATGTCACTGTTCCAGCTTAAGAGTCTTCTTTTCAGTCTTGCCAACCAAAGCACAACTGTAAGTGCTCCCCACCGATAAATACCCATGAGGTGTCCACATCTTATCTTTGAACTGACAGTTGTCCTAGGGGGTTGTGCATATGAGGAGGTATTCTCACAAGCTTTGGACAGGAACTGAGCAGACTTGTAGCAGTTGTGTGTGACTTTACTGAGCAGTCAGTGGGTGTGGTTCCTGTCTCAGTAAAGTCTTCTCCAGGGCCCTCAGGAAGACTTCCGGGCACAGGCTTTGGAGTCAGGGATGGGGAGGTTCTGGCCCTGGTAAGCCTTGTGCTGTCATGAGGCAAGACTTCAACTCCTGTAAGGCTCTTGAACACTCAGACACAAGTTCCAATCACTAGCTCGTCCAGAAAAGTAGGACCCCTCCCTTCTGGTACAACCTCCTCAAAGACAGCCTGAGGCTTCTGGAGCTCCTTTTTTTTTTTTTTTTTCATTATTTTCACTTCTCTTCCCCAACTTCCCTACCCCTCTTTTTATTCCTCTGGTTTCTGCCCCACATCCTCTTTATTTCACCTTCCCCCAAGCTGTCTGTCCTCCTTTACTCTTTCATAATATACCTTGTTGGCACATTAAACCCAATTCTAATCATTACACCATAAACATGGTTCCTGTTCTAAGGCAGAGGTTTAATCTTCCAATAACTCCTAGAGATAAGGAGGAACATTTTCAATGCACGTTTATAATGCAACAAATGAATGAAAGGAAAATCAAAAAGTACCATTTTCAAATTATTTACCATCTTCTATTGGAGACCTGAAGCCTTGGTGACGCTTTGGTTAAGAGCTCAGGCTGCTAACCAAAAGGTCGGCAGTTTGAATCCACCAGCTGCTCCTTGGAAACCCTATGGGGCAGTTCTACTCTGTCCTATAGAGTCACTATGAATGGGAATCGACCTCGACAATAAGTTTGTTTTTCTTTGGTTTTTATTGGCTTACCACTCTACTAAATAGGGCCTTTGCCTTTAGAGTTTACAATCTAGCAGAGGAAATAGCAACAGAGAACTTTCTAAGACTATATAGTATCATGGTGCTACGTCTGATGTACAACTGTGTGGTATTTAACGTGATTGGACAAAGGAGAAATAATTATGGATATTTTTGTGAAAGAGGCAGCAGATGAACTAAGCTTTGAGATTAGAAAAGTTTTGGTTAGAAGAGAGAGAGACTAGAGAAAATTAAGCCAAAAAGAGAATAACAGAAAAATATGGTTTATAAGAGGGACAAACAAGAGCTTTGCCTTATTAAAGTGGAACTGCAGATTGGAGAATTAGAGGCTGATTTTTTATATGGTGAAGGTTTTATACAGGATTTTGAGAAAAGTTTAGATTTGGCACAAAGGAAATATATAGTCAATAAGTTTTTTGGAGCAAATCTGAAGGGAAGGACTGGTGTTGGGATAGGAGCCAGGCGAGGTACTATTGCAATAGACCTTGTGTAAAAGCTTGGATACACTCTAATAGGATCTTAAGAGCACATGTACATAAAATGGCATACCAGTAATATATAAGCATTGACTCTGCAGAGACATCATTTCTTAAAACTTTAATATCGCTGGATTATTTTTCAAACCAAAGGTTATTCAGAAGCTCACTCTCCTTAAAGCAGATAAAAAGCAGAGTATCTCTCTCCAGGTGAAGTAGAGGTTGAGGTCAAGCCCCATGCCCATTTACTGCCTGACCTCCATTCAGTGACCCCTAAGTCATTGCCCAAGTATATCCTCAGGGATCCATAGACCCACCAAGGGCTGTAGGATAATACATTGTTAAAAACATTCTATTCAGATGATTAAACAAGGAAATACTGAAAGAATGGCTACTAACGACCACAAACAACAGTATTAACTGGGATATCTTGTCGGAACATGAGGGATTTGGGGAAAGAAAGGCATCAGAGATAAGAAAATGAAGAATTTGTTGTAGGTATGTTCGTGTGAACATTGAGCTAGATAATTAGCATGGAAACTGTGAACACACAGACCAGCAAATCAAATTCAAGGAAAGACGCGTGATGAGTAAACGAGGGAAGAACTGGACTAAAAGTGTAGAGGAAACCCAAACAAACAGCTCGCAACCTGGGTTGCTGAAGCAACCTTCTAAATGACCTTTCTGGTCTCCTCTTGCCTTCCTCTTAGTTATTCCTCAGACTGTGACAAAGGTAAGATTTAAAATGCATGTCTAATTAGGTTATTTTCATATTTAAAAACCTTAAAATGTTTTCTATGGCTTTTAAGATGAAGGTCAAATGTTTAACATGGCTTGCAAGACCTTGTGCAATTGAAGTAACCGAAAACTAAACCCACTGCTGTTGAGTCGATTCCAACTCATAGTGAACCCATAGGGCTTCCAAGGCCGTAAACCTCTACAGAAGTAGACTGCTACATCTTTCTCCTGCAGAGTCGCTGGTGGTTTTGAACCACTGATCTGTCGGTGAGCAGTCCATTGCTTTAACCACTGCACCACCAGGGCAATTGAACTAGTACCTGAATAATTCACCTGGCTTTGCTGTCTCTCTGTCTCTCCCTCTCTCTCTGTCTCTTTCCCTCTCTCTGTCTCTCTCTCTCTCTCTCTCTCACACACACACACACACACACACACACACGCACATTTACTGGCCCACTTCACATTCTTTGTGGCTTTCTTTCTGTCTCTTTATTACTTCAGAGCCTTTGCACACATTGATCCTTCCATTCAAAGCATTTCTTCCCTTTTTCCATCTACTAATTCCTACCAATCCTTCAGGTCCCAATTTTATTGTTATATCCTCAGTGAGAACTTCTATGAACCTCAGACCAGGTTATAGTCTCCAGTCATTTGTTCCCATAGAACCTCATGCTTCCCTGTCCAGATTTGTAAATGCTTGTGCCCCTTTTCCTGCTAAATTAAACTGCCACAGGTGCAAAGATCACATTGGACTTTATCACCACCTGAACCCCAGTTTCCAGTGCAGTGCCTTGCTCATAGCAATCACTCAATCACTTTGCAGAAAGATGGGAAAAAGGAAGGAAGGAGGAAAGAGAGGAAGGGAGGGAAGGAGGGAGGAAGAGTAAATGATATTTCAAAGGAGCCACTCTCACTATAGGGCTATAATCATCCTAGGAAAAGTGGGGAGAACAGCCGATTACTTTCATTCAATGAACACATATTTTCTGGAGTTGATAATGCACAAAATATTCTCTGTAGAGTACAATAACTTACGTCATTAGTGATATAACAACTAGGGTTAAGTTTGATTGCAGGATTAAGTCTGGTAACAGAAAACCCAAGAAAAGAGCAGCTTACATCCACAAAGATTTAATTCTCTCATGAAAGAGAAGTCTGGGCAGTCTAGGGTTGACATGGTGGCTCCTCAAAGCCTTCAAGAACTCAGGTCTCCCTGGACCACTGCTCTGCCATTACCAAGGAGTAGCCTTCACGCTCGTGGCCCAAGCAGCACATTTACATAATGGATA